ACTGTATGTTGTAGATGACTCCTGTTTTTTTTTCTTCTTGGGCTACTGGGTCTTTTGGTTTGCTTAAGATGTTTTGGAGGTTTAGTTGGTTTGTGTGCTATGGAGATGCCATGTGGTTGTATTAGTCTGTTGGTAGTTTCAACTGGGAAACTACCAGAGGGGAAAAAATAAAACAAAACCCACATCCACACCAACACTGGCAGGGCATGCCACTGTATATAAACAGAAAGCAAACCCTATTCCATTCTAGCACTGAAGATGTTACCTAGCCAGGTAACAAAACGTTTGCAAGAAAACAACCAAGCTCAGAGAACCCCAAGGACTCCACAGTTCAACCCTAAGCTAAACATATCCTCTTCTATTAGAGAGAGGGGAGTCTGGCCTGAGCCCAAGTCTTGTAAGGTGAGGTAAGGTGAGGCAGAAGTTCCTACCAGTGGGAACTGGTACTCTCACTCTGCTGAGGGTGTTCATAATTTCCCATCATCTTCAAGTGCAGTTCCAAAGGAATAAATCAGCTCAACTGCAAAACAAAGATGACAGTGTGGGATTACACAAGTTATTTGGGAGCAGTGTGAAGTACATGTTTGGAAGTGTCCTATGTATATTCAAACTCCTCCCCAACCTTCATTCCCTTCATTAAGATATTATGCAAATGTCACCTATTTTATCTCTGCTTGCTAGAGGTGGCAACAACAACAGCTTCTTCATTCATTGGCAACTCTTAGCCAAAGCCACTTACAGTAAGATGGCTGTACAAATGCAGAATAGCAAAATGAGATTTGTATTAAAATGCAGCTGTTAAATACAGAAATACAGCTTTAAAAGCAGGAGTTACAAAGCAAATATCAACACGTTCAGTGCTTTACTCACAAATAAATGGTATCAGTTTGGTGGAAGAGCAAATGCTCTTTGAAACTCTCTTTCTCATTCTGCAAAGATTGTACAGTTGAGGGATTGCCAGTCTTGAAATTGCTCCCTGTGGATAAGAGGTCTATTCCCAGACCTGGAACTATTTTCGCTTTAACAGAATAAGGGCTCCCTCGAGATGTTTGGACTTATGGTTCTTAAGTTCCGAAAAGGGTGAGCTACACCTTTGGTTATAACAGTGCTAGGTTAATTGATATTTCTAATGAAGAGTACAGTTATCCTGATTCTATTCCGTCAAGTGTTGAAGACTTAATGCAAACATTACATGCATGCTTTCCTTTGTTAAAAAGGTGTACCACAGCACTGAATTTGCCTTTTGCTGCAAGGAGGCTGTTCACTGAAAAAGGAGTGGAACTCTTTGTCTTGAAAGACTTGGAGAAGGATCAGCTGGTAAGAAAAATAAAAATGTTTTTGCCAATACTTTATTCAAAAAATATTTTTCCAATAAAATTAGTATGGTTAAATAGTATTTCCTGTCTTTCATTCAAGTCATGTATTGGAATATATAGGCTTACTTCCTTCTTTTTAGTTCCCATCATTTGGTTACAAGTACAGGCCAACAAATCAGCAAAAACTAATTATATTATGCCAGCAGATGGCCATCAGAATGGATTTTTAATAACACCCACTTTTCTACATGAAACCAAAATCAGATCAGAAGGGTGACAGAATAATCTGGGGTAGATCTAAGGGGTGCATAGAGGAAAGTAGAACAATGAATTAGGTGGCACAAGGATCTGTGCTGTTGTTTAGCATTAGATAATGTAATGGATCTCAATCTGTGGTCTGGAACCTCTAATGAATATGACACATATTAAAAAGGCATGGGGCCTTGATTGCGCAGATCTACCTACTATCTTGACATTTTTTTTAACACCCATCCCATGGTTGCCCCTGTGGATGGCAAATTTATTTTAGTAAAATTTATCCCAAATACTGTATAATAACTTACATTATTACATACAGATTCAATAGTTTTCACTGACTACGACCCTTAACAAAACTGAGAAAAATCAATTATCTGTCCCTGTGCTTATCTTGTCACTTACTATTTCAGAGATTTTTACTATGGTTTCATGTATTTTCATGTGTTCTAATGCAAATAAAATATTGCTGATCTCCACATCTGTCTATTTGGAAATTTTATTTTACTTTTTTGCTGAGGAGTTAGAATAATTTTTTGCAAATTTCTGTTCATCAAGGTAAACTAATTTTCCCTTTTCACTTGCATTATGCTTAGCTACTGGTAGATCTTCCATGTGGATCTTCTACAGAAGACTTACAGACCATTTAGCTTTAAAGTATCGTCAATACAGTAAGACAATTGAGACATGCCTGGAATTTTACTAAGAACATGGACTCATCAGAAATAATTTACAATATACTTTTGGGAAAGGCACTTTTGTGTAATTCTGCAATATTAAGAATCATTTTTGTTATTATATTGTAGAAACACAATTATATTTATATTTAATCTGTGAGCAGATTTGAATACCTGCATCAGAGAAGAAAATGCATGATTTTATTTTTAAAAATGAAATAATATGAATGTGAAACAAATTCAGCTCTCATTTTTTAAACAGCTTTACATATCATGTGGAGAGCAATGGATTGATCCACAGTGGACTATGGCTCAACATAAGAAACGTCTCCAGTGTAATAATTTAGCATCTGATATAATGGCTATGCGTGCATACTGTGTCATGAGAAATACAAAAAGTGAGCACATTGCTTTCTATGCTTTTTAAAACAATCTGTGTATAATGGCATCTATCTAATATTGGGTATTTACCACCTGAATGGAAGCCACTGGCAGACCTCTTTGTCCCGTGTTGCATTTCACGTTGGTCATGCTTAGAAACGGGATTGTGATGTCAAAGAATAAATCAATATGCTGTCCCACCAGACAGCTTGAAGAATTTAAACTTTTTTTTTTTTGCATCACAATATAAAAGGGGAATAAATAGAAGAATGGATAGACAAAGTTGAAGACACGTTCCCAAAATACAGTTAATTCACTTAGTCACTCATGCTGTCAGATCCCCTGATCAGTGGATCTGGTAGCATATATTCACAGTAAATGGGATGAAAGTTGTGCTTTTGAGTACACAGAGTCTCCTCTAATTTTATCCAAGAAGAACCTGGTATCCCATGACTCTTGTTCCAGGCTTTTTCCCATTTCCTTCCTCATTGGCCAGGTAGGCACTGTCAGGGAGGTATGTTCTGTGCTTCCAGATTCTGTTATGGAAAGCCTTACTTTCTGAACCACTTTTTCACTGCTGCCCCCACCCCCCATGGAAAGACTAAGTAGGCAAGACTGGTGTTCTCATGACTGAGTTGATTAGATGGAATTAGAATAATCCTTTTGAAGATTGGGTCTGGTTTAGACTAAATTTAAATCCCCCAGAAGTTAGATCAATGGTTCAATTTATTCCTTTTTGATATTCAGTGATCTGGGAAATAGGTGTGGGTATAAAGGCCTATAAATGTTCTTTAACTTTTGCTGGGAATCTGACTTTAGAAGATATTCTTATCAATATATCGATAAGAAAACTAATCTGTATCTTGTTTTAAACAAATAATGTTTAAATTCATTTTCCAGATTTTGTTTTGGAAGTCAAGAATGACATTGTTGCTGGTGCCAAACTTTCTGTTGCAAGAGCTATAGTAGAATTTGAAGGAAAAAAAGGTCTTGAAGAGCCAGAGAAAGAAAAATGTGAAGAAAACATTGAAAGAATAAAAGATGGCACAGATAAATCTCTGTAAGTGGTCCAAAGTAATAATCAGTACAACTATACTATGTATAGTTACAAATACTATTTTTTCAGATCATTGATATTTTAGAAACATTTTTTTTTTAAAATATTAGTTGCAGCAATTATGATAAACACACGTATACTTTCCAATCAGTTCTACAGTGCATGGTGTATTATTCCATTATTTCCTGCTTACAGTTTGAAAATACTTAAATTATTTTTGCTTCTTCTTATGATAGATAGGAGAAAGCCACATTAAAAAAAAAAGTAGTCCTATTATTTTTAGTGTTCAAGCATAAATGAAGATTCCTGTACTTCTCTTTTACTATCTGGTAATTTTATTTTGTCTTGTATAACTTGGATGGCTCAAATAAAAAGATGGTAGACAAAAGTAATAGCTAAAAAAATTGTATTTTTAATGACATGAGAAGAAATAAAGATAAGAATCTAAAATGTTTGTAGCAATTATAATAAAAACACTTCAGGCAATTGCCATCTTTTAAAGAACTGATTTCTAAGTTCTTCACCAAGTTCTTCTCTACAATTTTTTTTTATGTAAACAAAATTTACATATACAGTAGAAAAAAAATGAAAATAGGGTGGAAATACAATTTGGAATAACACTATCACCTAGATGGCTGAATTTTGGAGATATGAGTTTTTCCTCCCCCCCCCCCTAATCTCTTCTAACAATTACTCATTTCTAACTCCCTTCCTCTCCTAGAATGGAATTAGGTTCCTTTCACATTCAGCATCTAGCTCAATGATGTGCAGTACTGCACAACAACTCGGAGCACATTATTCCTGTGCTGTGGGACTTGTGATTAACTTCCAACTCCGCTGAAGCACTGCAAAGATAGTTTGCAGCTTTTCTTCTGCAGCTGTTTGTGTGTGGGGGGATTCTATCAATCCCTTTGATAGAAATTCCCCCTTCTTCAGAGGTCCCCAAAGGTGCTTTTGCCTGCTATTTCTGGTTGTTCTAAAGAGCAGCTTTATTGCTCTCCCGCACAAAGGCTGCATTTTGTTTTGTTTTTGTTCTGAGTAAATTGGCAGAAAGAAGAAAAAATAACTAGCAAATAGTGGAACAAACTCTGAAAGAAAATCAGCACTGATGCTTGCAAAGGTACTGTAAATCTTGCCTTACTAACCTAGAATTATTGTATCTGCAAGGCTTGTGGATGGAACTGATCCTGTTGGACTTTCAAAAACCTTTGATAAGTTCCTCAAGGCACTTGAGTAAACATAGCAGTCATGGGATTAAGAAAACCTATTCTTTTATGGAATGCTATCTGTTTGGGGAAAAAAAAAAGATTAGGAATGAATGGGCAGGTTTTTTTCAGCAGAGAAAATAAGAAGTGGAATTCTTCAATAATCATGTTGGGATCAGTGACTGTAAGTTGTTTGTAACTTGACTTAGGGGTCAGCAATGAGCTGGCAAGTTTGCAGATGGTACCAAAGTATTTTGGGTAGTGAACTTAAAAGTGATTGGGAAGAACTACATAAGGATCTGTTTAAACTGGGTGATCCTAACCATATTCAAATGGCAATTTAAATATGTGTAAATTAATGCATATTGGAGTAAAAATACAACAACAATATGCATCAATTGGGTGTGAGCTGTCTGTAAGTAACAGGGAACAAGCTCTTGGAGTCATAGTGGACCTTTGGGGCGGGGGGGGCTCAAGTCCACTGTTGACTCCTGGTGACTTCCTAGACTAGTCCCTACAGTTCTCTTGCCAAGATTTCAGAAGTGGTTGCCATTGCCTTCTTCCTACGGCTGAGAGAGAGTGACTGGCCCAAGGTTATCCAGCTGGCTTCATGTCCAAGGCAGGACTAGAATTCATGTCTCCTAGTTTCTAGTCTGGTGCCGTAACTGCTACACCAAACTGGCCCTCTAAATAGTGGATAGCTCTACTAAATATAATGAAGATATAAGAAATCAAGTTTTTCTTTCTTCATCTAATCAAGCTGATTGGAAGGAGAATTAGAATTCACAATACAGGCAGTTCCCAGGTTAAGAATGAATTCTGTTCCTAAGTCTGTCTTTAACTCAAATTTGTATGTAAAATTCGCAACTCATACTTATGAATGGGCTGCCTATTACTAAAAATGGCGGATGGCATTCTCCTTCCTCAAGCCAACAAACTGCTGAAGCTGTGCAATGTTTTCATGAACCACTGAAAACCACTGAAAACAGGCTGTATATTAAAAATGCACCACAGTTTGTTGGCTCAAAGAAAGAGAACGCCATTTTTAGTAATAGGCAGCCCATTTGCAAGTATGAGTTGCCTGTATGTGTTCTCACATGATGCATAATTAACCTGTGGAATTCACAGTGATGGCCACTATCTTGGATAGCTTTAAAAGGGGACTAGATAAATTAATTGAGGACAGGTTTATTGAGGACTATTAGCCTCGAGGTTCTGGATTGAATGCAGTGTTGGTATTCCTTCAAATAACAGAGAAACGCCAGCAGAAGAGGGATGTATCTCTATTTTCTGCCTGCTGGGACCCCAGAGGCATCTGGTTAGTCACGTAAGAAACAAAATTCTGGTTTAAGATGGGCATTAGCAGGACTATTGTGTTCTTAATGAGATTTTAAGTAACTTTACCTCAGCACTGTTTAGTGTTACAAATTATCTCCCACTTATATTTAGCACCAACATTTTAAAAAATAAGATTTATTCACATTAAATTGCTCAAAGCCAAAAGCCACAAGTAGAAGTCCTATGGCACCCTAAAAATAAATGGAATGGTTCTAACTTCTGGATCTGCTGCCTGGAAGGTTTTCTGAGGGGAAAGAAGTATCATTTCTATGTGCTGAGAGAACATTTTTTGGAAGGCAGATGTATCTGCTGTGTTGACTGAATCTCCACATCCAGAGATATATCCTGATGCAGTATATGATCTGCTGTTTTACTTCCTTGGTAATTCCCTGTAAAACATTTTTGTGACACATTCGGTTAGGAACTAGAATCTCTCTTAACACATACCTTAGAAAAATGTTGTTCTTTATTCAACATTGAAACTGTCTCGTGTTACGATAGCATTTCTATTTTATAGATACTGCATAAATATCCATAAATGCTCCGTACATTCATTTTTATATGAATATATGAAAGAAAGACACTATATGATAGAACTATTGTTGCAAAAACCTACAAACCTGTTTGATCAGCGTTCACAAAGGGAATGGAAAGCAAAGTGTATATATTTGTGAAGAATGATTGATTATACTACTAGCATCTCTTTGCCCAGTTTCTGAAAAATTATTGTGTGTGCACTGCCACAGTGGAAGAACGTTGAAGATGGAAATCCATTGAAAATACAAATGTAAAAACATATTGCATTAATTCTGTTGCACAATAGATGGCACTGTTGTTTTCTGAAATATTAAAAAAGCTTGCCAGGATGATAAATAATTGTTTTAGAAATGATGTGCCATTGGTATCTTATAGAGTATTTGCTATCTTAGAGATATTAAGACCAGGTCAACATAGGCTACTTCACTGATGATGAACTACTCATGTTAGTGTCAATAGTATATAATGCATTATCTCCATCTGTTCTATCTTCTTATATATAAAACCATAGAAAATTGCAGATTTTGTTATTACACTATGGATGTTACAAAAGGGCATATTTCTCCAAAGCTTTGAATACAGAGAATATTGTAATTTCTCTCTCTTACCTGAAAAGCAGCGGGTCCCCACTACTTTAACATGCTCTATTGGGGTGCCTTTAAAAACCACTTGGAAGATGCAAGTAGTCCAGAATCCAGCTGTCCATGTACTCACTAAAACCTGGTCTTATGAGCACATTACACCTATGCTATGGGTCCTGCAGTGGCTATCAATAAGCTACTGGGGCACAATTTAAAGTGCTAATTTTAACCTGTAAAACCCTCTATGGCTTGGCACCAGGTTACCCTCAGAGCTGCATTCTCCACCTAGAATAGGCTTGGCTTAACGTAATTTTTTGGGAGAAGCAGCAGGTTCCCCACTTTTGGGAGGTAAGGGGGTCAAGGCCAGGAGGCACTGCTTCTGGGTGGCCCTTTGGAATGTCCTCCCATGAATTTGACTTCCTTCTTCACTGCCTTTTGCAAACAGCTTATAAACACTTTTTAGTATGGTGTTTAGGGACTGCCATCATTTATTATTATTTTATTTTTCTAATATGTTGTATTTTAAAATATTTAATTTTTACTGTGAACATTTTAAATGTATGTGTATTGTGGATTTGTAAACCTCTGAGAGCCCTTAACTGGATTACAGCAGGTTATAACTGAAATAAATACAATTTAAAAATATCCTAAGGTTTGATATGGAACATGGGATACTATAACAGCAAGCTGAATGCAGATTTTTTCACCCATGAACAGAAGACCTACTTTTACAGAGGGAACCAAGGTCCTGCAAATGCTTTCTGCTGAAGAAAGGGGGTAAAATAAGAACTATTGCCAATTTTTCTTTGCCTTTTGCAGCCTCAGTTATCATTCCAAGAGGGTTATTCTGGGACAGATTTTGCAGCGCGTAGGTAGATGCAGGAGAAAAAGAATGAATAAAAATCTCCTTCCTCATTTCAGTTGTGGAACCAACCAGTTCATGCAACTCCACATCTAATCAATAAAACAAACACAATTTCAAAGACAACAGAAGTATAATGTGGCTTTTGGAATATGATTTCCAGAATAAAACTTCATTGTTTTTTCCAAATCATCAGTTTTGGTCTTCAGGTTGGGCACATTCAATTAAATTGTAACAGAAGAAAGCTTTTTTTTTTTTTTTTTGAAGACTGCATTCCAACTGGAATTCTTTACTCCTAATATCCACCAACAAATTTTATCATATGCTGTTTTGTTCCAGTTAGCCTTTATTTTATCAGATAGAATTTTTCAAAATCTACCAGCTGGTCATGTATTCCATTATATCTTATTTTAATGATTTTTGTTGCATAATAGAGTTGGCTTTAACAATTGTAAGCTATAATGAGTAATAAGCACACAT